GCCTTGATGGTTAAGTGCACGCGCTCCACTGCTGGCGGCCCGGGTTCGGATCCCGGGTGCGCACCGACATACCGCTTCTCTGGCCATGCTGAGGTCGTGTCCCACGTACAGCAACTAGAAGGATGTGCATCTATGACATACAACTATCTACTGGGACTTTGGGGGAAAAAAATAAATAAAAAGAAAAAAATAAATAAAAAAAAAGAAAAGAAATGAGAGAATTGGTAATCAGTGCTCCTCTAAATGTGATCTGTAAACTGGTGATCGTCCCTAAATTGTTACTGGTCTGCAACAAAATACAGAAATTGAGAGGAAATACCTGGAAACTTTAAATAAATATTGTACATTGCAGTGACATCGAAGTGTATGATCACTTTAATTCTGTTAATAACATAAATATTGGTCCTCAGTGGATTGGGAGAAAAAATAGAAACCTGCTCTTTCACCACAGATAGTTAGAGAAACCCTGTCCTAGATAATTCCTAGTGTCCTTTTCAAAAAATGTTTAGATCAAAGACTATGAGTAGAGGGGCTGAGGAAAATGAATACAACTAAAACAGACTAAAATAAGATATATAAAAACCATAACAGTGAAAATGATTAGAGCAAATTGTGTTTAGAAGGAAATAAAAGCAAAAAGCTCACGGAACAAAATGAATAGAAAAGGAAAAAAAAAAAACCCACTGCCATCAGCCTCTAAGGCTCATGCTTCCAAAATAAAACATCAAAAGAAGTCCCCCATCCACCTCTTGATAATGGTTCCCACTGCTTATTATAGGTGCTGGGTTGTTAGGGGATGGCACATGCGGAGGGGGCTTGAGAACAACGTAAGGTGCAAAAGGGTCAGTCTATACAAACCCTGGGGGAAACTTGCTCCTCTGAAGTGGGCTAGAATGTCGCATCACCTCTTCCCTGGGTTGGAATCACAAGGTCAGGAAGTCTGCCAGCAACGGATGAACCAGGTCAGCTTTAACACATTTCCCAGACAGACATCTCAGGAAGGTGTGGAATCAGCAACTGATCTGTTTTTCAAAGTCCTCGGAATTTGATCCTCACTAATGTTGTAACATGGGGCAAGGCAGAAGATGTTCAAGTATGGGGCAAGGACATTCTCTGCTTGCAACCCAGGTATGCCCTTCCAAAACCAGAAGGATGGAATATGGAATGGGACCACTGGAATGATGGCTCAATGGTGGCTGAATCCTCAACTCCGTATTCTTCTATCCTCGTGAAGCCTGTAGCGAAGCACAAGACAGGGGGACTTTAAAATGGGCCCCTGCGTGAGTGTGCACATGGGTATTGTGGCTATAGTGGTTGTAGCCAGAAATGTATTTACTCGATTTTGGGTGGTTATAATGTAATATTAATAGTACGCTTCTTCTGACACTTTCTCTCTCAAAGACATCTCAATTCCAGATGAATAGATATTAGCTATAAAGGTTTGCTAAATCTTTTGCAGTGAATTTACAGACTCTTCTGCTGAATTGTGGCATTGGGGGATTGGTGCCCGTTTCCTTACCGAGAAGAATATTGTCTTGGTGTCATCACCCCTGCCAAGGGCAGCATGTCCTGTTGTATAGCTCAGTGTTACCTATTCTGTGAGAAGTAACTGGGTGATGAATGGATTATCTAAAAACCTTATCAAGCTTAATGACTTTCTGAGGTTTCAGATGGCTTCTGCATGAAAAGGTTAACTCTGAATCATAAATAATGAAGGCTTTTCAACAGAACAACCTTTCTCTTGTGTGGAAATTATATGTACTGAAATATTAGCCATTTATCTTTGTGTTTAATTTTTTTTCTTTCTTCCTCTAGTAAAAACTGACAATTTTTGGCCCTTAATGTAGAAGAAAAAAACTATTTCAATCCAAGTGCCCTGTTAAATATCACAGCTTGATGTTGATGAGTTTCAGTAACTTCCATTTAGCTTTCTAGAATCTAAAATAAGACGTCCAAGCAGCCCTACTAGCTGTGGTAAGGAAAAAGGCTGCACTAATTTGATGAAAAAGAAAACACGCTCATTTCATTTCGCTTGTCATTGGAGGCTAGAGGGAACCTATTTAATGTCCAACAAGGTCAGGATATGGTAGATAAGCTCAAAGGCTCTTCCTTCCCAATGCTTGTTTTCTGTTTGTTTTGTTGTTGTTTTTTTTAAATAGCCTTCTTAATGGGTGTGAGGTGGTATCTCATTGTGGTTTTGATTTGCTCCTTAATGATTAGTGATGATGAACATCTTTTCACTTGGCCATTTGTATATCTTCTTTGGGGAAATGTCTAGTCAAGTCCTTTTCCTATTTATGAATTGGGTTTTTTGTTGTTGTTGAGTTGGAGGAGTTCTTTATATATTCTAGATATTAATCTGTTATCAGATATGTGATGTGCAAATATTTTCTCACGATTGAGTATGGTGTTAGCTGTGGGGTTTCTGTATATTGCCTTTATTATATTGGGGTAGTTTCCTTCCATTCCTAGTTTGTTGAGTTTTTATTTTTTGTCATGAAAACATGTTAAATTTTGCCAGATGCCTTTTCTACGTCAATTGAGATGATCATGTGTTTTTTCCCCCTTCATTCTGTTAATGTGGTGTATTACACTGAATTTTGTATGTTGAACCATCCTTGCATTCCAGGAATAAATCCCAGTTGGTCATCATGTATAATCTTTTTAATATGCTGCTAAATTCAGTTTGCTAGTACTTTGTTGAGGATTTTAACCTCAATATTCATAAGGGATATTGGTCTTTAGTTTTCTTTTTTTGTAGTGTCTTTGTCTGGCTTTGGTATCAGGGTAAAGCTGCCCTTATAGAATGGGTTAGGAAGTGCTCCTTTTTCTTCAACTTTTTGGAAGAGTTTGAGAAAGATTTGTGTTAGTTCTTTAAATTTTTGATAAAATTCCCAGAAATCATCTGGTCCAGGGCTTTTCTGTATTGGGAGGTTTTTGACAGATTCAGTCTCCTTATTATAGTTCTATTCAGATTTTATATTTCTTCATGATTCAGTCTTGGTAGGTTTTGTGTTTCTAGGAATTTTTCCATTTCATCTAGATTATTCAGTTTTTTAGCATACAATTGTTCATAGTACTTCCTTAGAATATTTTTTATTTCTGTAGAATTGGTAGTAATGTCACATCACAAATAATTTTTGAGCGTTCACTTTCTGTGTGCAATCACAATGTTAAGCCCTGGAGACCCATCTCCAAGTAAGACCCCATGGCATCACAAAGCTTATGGTCCAGTGCATTTAAAATGTGATTTAGAGACCAAAGTTGGATAACCCTATACTTTTCAGAATTATATTAACTATACATATGAATTTAAGATATTGATTCCTGAGCTACATTCAGTGAAAGAAAGTCTTTAAAATACAGTCTTATCAGCCCTTACTTGTTGTTACTACTGTATCCTTGCTAAAGGCCTCTGGTTTCAGAATACATATGGCAAACAATCTTGGAGACAGGACCAACTGGCAGCAATGTACTCTAGTCCAGCACTACTCATTGCACCACACACACACAAATTCAGGCTTGGGGATGGGCCCTTTTTTCCTTTTTATTCAGGTATAATGTCCACACAGTAGAGGGCATAAAGTGCATTAACCTTAAGTACACAGTTTGATGGATTTTCACATATGTCTAGACCTGTGTAATCATCAGTAGATTGATATAAAATATTCCCATCTCCCAGAAAAATCCTTTATATGTACATGAGACATGAGAAGATTGGGGATCTTAAAGTCTCAGGCTGGCAGCAGTGTAGAGTAAGGAGGGTGAGATGGGCTCTGAGTCTTCATCTGGGAGCCTTGGCTGGAGGAAGCATCCAAGAATTCTGCTGACTCTGCCAGAAGTGGCTCAGACTTGCACATATTCTGCAAAATCGGCCTTGGCCTGAGCCCTCCCACAAACTCTGCTTGTGTTTACACACACACACACACACACACACACACACACATCCCCACTCATTCAACATTCATGGAATTTGCAAGTCTTGACTTGGTGGAGTAGCCAAAGATAAAGAAGCCATAGTCCCTGCCCTTCTGGAGGAGAGCCAGCATCACTGCAGCCCAAAGACCCCCAGGGCTCACCTTCTGACTTTATTAGATGCGGTTGGCAGCAGCTGCCATACTCCTATGTACCCTCCTTTCCTTCTCAGAAAATCCTAGCTCTACCCTCCTCCTTGTCATGGGCGTCCTTCCTCACCTGAAGTTAGATCCGGACCGGGGGTCATCTTTACTCTGATCATCTTGTTCTGCTCCTGCTTCCTCAGCCATGGCCTCTAAAGCTGCCAGTTTTTTTGTGAGTCCAGCAAGTAGGTCCAGTGATGCGGGATTAGAAGGATATGGGGTAGTCAGCCTGGAGAGAGCACCACTAGGAGGTAAGTTGATTACTGATCTCAAGGCTATAGAGAGATTTTATAAGAAGGAAGTGGACTGATTGTTCATTGTTTGTGAAAGAAGCAGTAAGATAAACAGGCTCAGATTAAGAAAGATAGGGTGGCACTGGCCTGGTGGTGCAAGCAGTTAAGTGCGTGCGCTTTGCTGCAGCGGCCCAGGGTTCGCCAGTTCGGATCCCGGGCGTGCACCGACACACCGCTTGTCAAGCCATGCTGTGGCGGCGTCCCATGTAAAGTAGAGGAAGATGGGCATGGATGTTAGCCCAGGGCCAGCCTTCCTCAGCAAAAAAAAAAAAAAAAAAAAAAGAGGAGGATTGGCAGATGTTAGCTCAGGGCCGATCTTCCTCACAAAAAAAAAAGAAAGAAAGATAGGGTTTGGAGAGTAGGAAGAAAATCCTTGTCTAAAGAGTAGCCAAGTCTTTGGTGCCATGTGGCCTGCACCCCAGCCCTCTCAGAGGAGAGGACAGACAGACAGCAGCCTAGGGGAGAGTTTCATGGTTTTCCTGACTCCAGGTGATGGGTGCGGTTGGGCTAGTGCTCTGGTCCCTCTAACTCAAGGGTTCCATGATTCTGTGATGTCACTGAAGAGAGAAGAATGGGGCGCTGGGCTTGGCTCCAGCTGCTCCAATTCCTCTCTCCTTTGGATTCTGATAGTTTTTGGGATGAGGGGAGGTGAGCTGAGTGATCACACGTGTCCCAGCTCAGTCTCCCCTCTAGCCACCTCAGCCCCCACAACATTTATGGAGAGAAATTAGCCAGTGTGAGTCAGCTCCACCGAAACAAACAGAGCATGTTTTTTGAAGCTGATCAAAAGAACAACAATGAAAACAGCCTTTTATTCTTCTGTTTCTAGAAAACTTAAAGAACAAGAGAACTACTTTCAAACTGAGCTGGAAAAGAATATTTGGACAATCTGTGATTGTGAGAGTGGATGAGTCTTCTAGCTAACCCTATGAGCTTTGAAACCACAGCAATCACTTTCTTCATCATCCTTCTAATTTGCCTCATTTGCATCTTCCTTTTATTGGTGGTTTTTTTATATAAATGGTATAAATCCAAGCTGATAAATTGGGATCAGATTTGAAGTCACACTAGCAAATGTATCTAGAAATAATATAAAACAATTTAAAGTAGAGCAAATAATAATGCTGTAGCTCTCTACTTTTTCCATTTCAGTGTTTTAGAAATGCTAATGTTCTGTTTAAAAGTAAAGTTCCACACCAAGCCTTAAAATCAAGACCATTCTTCCTTTTCTGAATTTTTTGCTTGCTCATTTTCAGCGTCCAAAGTAAGAAAGATGAAGAGACAGAAAAAGGTCCTTGTACAGATGCAAATGGAGGTGAAGATTGTTTAGCTGCTAATGTGGAGACAAACAATTCAGGAGACAAAGACAAGTAAGTCTATATCGTAGAATGTGGTAGAAAGCCATTTTTGTGTGTGATGATGGTAGCTAAGATGCATGAATTTAAAAAACCCTGCTGATTGATTTTCTAGGACTCTAACATCCATGAGGCCTGGCATTCTTGTTCAGAGACAGAGTAAAGAAGTGGTGGCCATACCCTTTGAAAACAGAGAGGACGCAGAGGACGAAGAGGTGGCCAAAATAAAACAGAAGCAAAAGCTTGAGAATGCTAAAGAAAATGGTCAAGAGGTGATAGGCTTTTCTACTCTCAAGGGGCAGTTTAGAATGTGATTGATTGAAAAGGAGGTAAATTACTTGGCTAGGTGGTGAGGGGGGTCTCGGCTAGAACTTAGGTGTGTCCTTGGAAGGAGTACACTGTCCACAGTCATTTAAACTGTTCTTTTTAACTTATGGATTCATATTATTAAACCAATTACATATGCCAAGCCTAGACACTTCCTCATTCTTCATTCTTACATTTGTGTTTTTCTTAATAATTCCCCTTCATTTTGCTTTTCTCAGAATCCTAGGATATTAGAGCTGGAGGAGGCCTTGGAGATCATCTAGAGATCCAACCCTCTCATGTTACAAATGAGAAAATAAGATGAATTGTTCAAAGTCACTCCTCCACCATGGCTGAGCTCAGGACCAGACCCTGTGTCCCTGCTCTATTTCCAGGCTCCTTCTACAACAGCACACAAACATTGCCAGGCTCTTCATGAGCTCCATGTCTGGGGCTCCCTAATAAGAACAACACAAGACCCATGCCCAGTCAGAGACAGAACGATGGTTCAGGTGGCTCTTGGGTTTGACTACTTCATAAAAAGAATGACACATGTCACCAGATGCTGTTTGAATATGTCAGTGTATGCTTTTATAACCATAGAAATATGAAAATGAGATCATGATGGATTATCACTGCTGTCCTATATCATTTAGAAATACTTTTTTTCTGTTTCTCACTAACAATGTACATATAACCTATATATATATATAGGGTGTTTTTTGGTGAGGAAGATTGGCCTTGAGCTAACATCTGTTGCCAAGCCTCCTCCTTTTGCTTGAGGAAGATGGTTCCTGAGCTAACATCTGTGCCAGTCTTCCTCTGCTTTGTATGTGGGACGCCTCCATAGCATGGCTTGATGAGTGGTCAGTAGGTCTGCACCCGGGATCTGAACCCATGAATCCTGTACTAATGAAGTGGAGCGCATGAACTTAACCACTACATCACGAGGCCGGCCCCCTAACCTATATTTTTAAAAGCAGGGCTTGTTGCATTCATAAATTGATCATTTATAATGTTTGTCCCATTCTCTTGCAGGATGTTGACTTGCAAAAATCACCCATACGGGTCACTGGATCTCCTTCAGTTATTGAAAACCACAAAAGACCTTTAAAAGGAGTGACATTTTCTAGGGAGGTAATTGTTGTGGACCTTGGGAAGGACCATCCTGTATCTCGAAGCTATACTCGAATACATAAAGAGAGAAAATGAAGCTCAAAAAAAGCTGAGAGAGAAAGAAACGTAACCTTAGACTCACAGCAAAATGATTGGGGGCACAGAATCATGTTGAACCAGCAAAATAATGGGGAATTAAGCAAATACAGATAGTATTTTACTTTTGTGCAGAAGTGGGCTACATGCAAAATTCTGTAAGTAAAACACCCAGAACTTGAATATAGTTTTTTTTAAATTCAAATCTGAGTTCAAAAAATTGATTGTATTAAGTGTCCTTAAAACACTGACTACTCAGACGCTGTTCTAACATGTGAATAAAGTGATTTGTGTTTGTGCAGATGTCTGTTAGGTAAATCATATTCAAGGAGCACTTTGGAAACAGCACGTGTTCTTGATGCTCTGATCACAGGCATCCATGACCAAATGACTGCTATCATCATGGAAACTTCCAGTAACTAGGACTAGAGTCTCCTACTACATAATCCCTATTGAACTCAGTCCTGAAACATTTATTGTACTGACAACGGCTTTTTAAGACTGATACAGAAAAAACCCACCACCAACGACAAAACATCATGTTACTTTAGGCAAGTCCTGGGATTATACTATTTTTGGTTTCATTAGTTTAAAATTTGCTGTCTGTATGTGGAATATGACAGTAGAGGCCAGTACAACATTATCCAAACCACTGCAGTAAATATTTGTGAAATGTGTAAGGGGCAACGAGAGAGATAAAAAGTAGAAAACATAGCATTTGATTCAGGGGCCTAGCACATTGTCATGTATATGGCATATGCTGAATAAATATTGAGTTATTGTAGAATAAGTGATAAAATAATTTAGAATGTGTGACTAATGCTAAACGGGGAGTATTGACACCCTTTGATGGGGAGAAGTCCTTGTGGTCGGAGACAATCCCACAATGACAAGGAGAAGGGACTTAACCAATAATACAAGCAGAGAGATGAGTGTGTTTCAGATGGGGAAAAGCACAAGCCAAGGCAAAGAAGTGAGAATGTGTATTCAGTTTGGTGGACACCAGTTGGCTGGAGCTGCATGCTGGCGCTGCAGAGAGTTGAGAGGTAACAGTGAAGTGTAGTCAGGAGTCAGAGTAAGGTCACTCTTAGGATCCCAGGCTAGGGGTGTAGAGTAGATAAGGGATTAAAGCAGCGTGGACTGTGGTGGAGGGGGTCTACAAAAATACTCATTCGGAGCCCATGAGTTCTCTATAAGCACTTAAAAATTTTGGTCTGTGATTCACCTGATGATAACATTAAAAAAATTTTTTAAATTGTGGTAAAATACACATAACATAAAATTTACCATCTTAACCAGTTTTTTTTCCCTTTTTAAAAATTGAGGTAGCATTCGTTTATAACATTGTCTAGTTTTCAAGTGTACAACATTATGTGCACAGTTCAGTAGTGTTAAGTACATTTACATTGTACGACCATCACCACATCTATCCACAGAATTCTTTTCATCTTGCAAAACTGTAACTCTGTACCCATTAAACACTAACTCCTCATTCCCCCCCAACCCCACTCCAGTCCCTGGTAACCACCAATCTACTTTCTGTCTCTATGAATTTGACTACTCTAAGTACCTCATATAAGTGGAATCAGAGTATTCATCCTTTTATGATTAGCTTATTTCACTTAGCACAATGTCCTCAAGATTCATCCATGTGTCAAGAATTTCTTCCTTTTTAAGCCTAAATAATAATCCATTTGTACATATATACTGCCTTTTGTTTATTCATTCATCTGTTGATGGACACTTGGATTATTTCTTTTTTCTGTTGTGAATAATGCTGGTATGAATATTTAAAATTTTAATCTAAGGAAGTTCAGACTTATCTGGATGACCATTTATAGCTGTATATTCCCATATGATGTCATGGTTTCATCGCCCATATCTGCATCTGTATTTATGAAACCGAGGTGCTTTGTCACAAGCTGATGAGAAAAGAGTAGAGGAGGAATTAATACATAAATGATGCATCTGTGTCCAAGTGAAGGCCAATTTCCTGGTGACTGACTATGCTAATGACGGTTTTGTAAAAGTTCCAATAGAAGAAAATGGTGGGAAAATTGGCCATCAGTGCCCATGATAGCACAGGCACATGGAATTCCAGAAGGCCATCGGTGCCACAACTATGGGGTAGCAATAAAGCAGTCAACAGAATATCATCTGGCACTAAATGTTAATTTGAATTTTATTGGTTTTATGCTTTTGTTTATATTTGACTTGTAAATTTGTTTTGGTTTTAGGGTTGAATGAGAGCTCTAAGGATAAGAAGTTGATATCCAGTTTTACGTTTCTACATGTTTTTAAGTAACACTGTATATAATAAACAATTTAAGGCAATAGTAGTGGCAGGGGTTCATGGGAACTTTCCTCTGGGATTAGGTTATTGAAGAATAGCACCAGAAGATAAGTGGAGAAGGCTATAGTGACAATTCAGACTTGAAGGATGAGGATCTGGAATAGGGAGGTGGCAGAACACAGTGAGAATATGAAGAAAGAGTCAACAACGGCAATTTCTGGACAGATAATGGGAGGAATGAGAGGAGGATGCAAAGATGACTCCTGAATTTGGATACCTGAGAGACTGTCCGAAATAGGAAAGTCCAGAGTGGTGACTAATTCGAGGGAAAAGATTCGCTGGGTTTTACTTCTGTTGAATTTGATGTGTTTGCCAGAAATTCAACTGACGATAAACTGAGCAGTCTAGGTGTAGGGCTCCGTTTCCATCTCCTAAGCTATGGAGTCAGTGAAACGTTGAGCAATTCTTTCTCAATGCCCATCGTGTCTCTCTTGCAGAAGTAGAATCAGTGTTGCTATTTTCCCTCTTTAATTAGCTGTTGACCCAAAGACTTTCTTCAAATGACCTCCCCAAGCAGGACACATCACCCAAAAGCCAAAAGGGAAAAGTTGATAAATTGGCCCATTTTTTAAAAACTTCTGTTAAGCAAAAAACAACAAAATACCAACAACAAACTGGGAAGGCCTATTTTTAAAAAAACGTTTTATACTGAAATAATTTCAACATTACAGAAAAGTTGCAAGATGATAGATTCCCTCACTCAGTTTCCCCAGTTAACAGTTTACCACATTTGTTTTATCATTCTCTCTCTCCATATCTACGTATTCATGTTTTTTAAGCATTTGAGAGTAAGATGCAAACATGCTCTGTCATTCACCCTTAGTACTTTGGCAGATACTTCCTAAAAACTGGGACATTCTTTCACATAACCACAGGTCCACCATCAGTTAACATTGACACGCTATTGCCATCTAATCCACAGGCCTCGTTCAAAATTTGCCAGTTATCCCAGTTATATTCTTTATAGGTCCAGGATCCAATTCAGGATAATGCTTTCCATTTAGTTGTCACATCTCTTTAGTCTCCTTCAATTTGGACCAGTTCCTCAGACTTTCCTTCATTTTTCTCACCTTGACACTTTTGAAGATTACAGGCCAGTTACTTTGTAGAATGTCCCTCACTGTTGGGTTTGCCTGAGGTTTCTTCATGATTAGGTTCAGGTCATGTATCTTTTTTTTTTTTTTTTT